AACCTTGACCACCAATAATTTTCTTTTGAGGTTGATGGTCATCAGGAATAAGAGGAGAAGAAATATCAGAAAGATTTTCATGAAGAGAAGAATCAAGAGGAATAGATTGATCTAAATGAACGACATCAGAATCTTTAAGTTCTTTAGAACCTACTTGAAGTGCTTTTTTAGATGGAGGTCTTCTATTTCCTTTTCTTGCAATTCTTTTTACAATTGGTTGAGGAGAAGATTCTGATTGTAAAGATTCATTATTTAAACCATCTTTAATATCAATATTAAGAATATTAGAAGAATTATTATCTGATGAAATATTAGATTGAATATTTTCATCTTTTTTATCTTTTCTTCTTCCTGGTCTATGAATTACTTTTGGAATATCATCAACTGAAAGAATATCTAATTTATTTTTAATTTCTTCTTTTTTCTCATCATCATTTTCTTTATCATTATTATTATTATCATTAAAATTAATATTTTCTTTATTATTAATATTTTCTTTTTCTTTTTCTTTAGAATTATTATCATTAGATATATTTTGAAATTCAAATCCAATACTACTTTCAATAACTTTTTCATCTTTAGCTCCAACTCTTTTTGGTGCTTGTCTTTTTAACATTTGTGAATTTTCTCTTTCTTTCTTTGGTTTATTATATTCAACAAATCTAGTTTCTTTTTTTTCTTCAATTTCTTTAGTAATTTTAATTTTACTTTCTACATAATTTTTATAATCATTTCCTCCTCTTTCAATATTACATAACATTTGATTAATATGTTTTAACATTTCTGTCATAAATACTTTTCTACCATCTTTTCTAATTATTGGTTCTTGAATTATTTCTCTATGTTTTTTAAATATTTCAATAATTATTTCTATTGTTTTTTTAACTGTATCTATTTCTACTGGTAATATAATTCTAATTATTCTTCCTTTATATGTTTTTGATATAAAATTTACTAATGATATTCCAAAATTTTTTACTCCTTTTCTTTCATCTATTAAACTTTGAATTCCTGTTTCTATTGCTGTATCTATTCTAATATTTCCTTCTATTTTTCCTAATTTAATATTAAATCTTTCAAAATCATATGTTAATGGAATTATTTCTTTATTTTCATATCCTATTTTAATATTACATATTTTTCTTAATTTAATTATTGTTTTAATATCTTGTTGTATTGTATTAATTCTTTGATTCATTACTGTATTAACTATTTCATTTATAAATTTTATATATTTATTTTCTTTTCTTATTCCTTTAATTATTCCAATTAAATATCTTTCTCTTTTCCAACTATCTACAAGTTCCATTTGTGTTTTAATATTACTTTCTTTTTTTTCATTAATTTCATTCATCATATATTCATAATTATTTTCTTCTTCATGTCTTCCATATTTCATTTTCATTGCTTCTCCAATTTCTCTCATTGTTACATCTTCTTCATTTAATATAAATTCTATTTCTCTATTTAATTCTGGTAAATATGATATTAATTCTATTCGAAAATTATCTTTTTCACATACTGGATTTTCACTTAAATCTAATTCACTTAAATTTTTCATTAATTTAAAACTTTGTTGTTCTTTTTTTATCATTGTTATTCTATTTCTTCTTGCTGATAAACATTCTAATCCTCCCATTGCTTGAAATCCATTTAATGTTTCAATATAATTTTCATCTACAAATAAATTTTTAATATTATTTGAATAATACATATAACATTCTCTTATTTTATTATTATTTAATATTAATGTATCTGTTGGTCTTTCTTCTAAATTTTCTATTACTTTTATTTCATTATAACTTAAATCTAAAAACTGTAATTTAGGAAATAATTTCTTTTCAAATATTCCTGCTCCTATTACATTAACTTTACATTTTATACATTTTAATGTTTTTAACTTTTTCCATATTAATCCTTGTGTTGATCCTAAAAATATTTCTAATGTTTGAATTCTACTATTCTCTACTGTTAATTCTATTAAATTCTCCGCTAATCCTTTTGTTGTCATATTCACAAATACTTTTAAATCTTGTATATTTAATCGTGTTATACTACATGCTGATACAAATCCTATAGGCAATTTTATTATTTTCCCTTCTTGTATCCCTCCTAATATCTCTCCCGATTCCGGCTGAATTGTAACATGTTTAATCTTCCTAAAAAACTCACTCATCCCATTTCTTTTCCCAAAAGACGGATGTGCCAGTCCATTCATAAACATCACTAACCCCGGCGTTAACACTAACTCTTTATTCTTCCCCTCTATACTCACTTCTATAAATTTATCTAAATACTTAAATAATCTCTCTATAAATATTTCTTTCTTTTCATTCATTTCTTTCTTTTCTAGTTTCTTTTCTTTTCAAGTTTTCCTTTTTTTCTTCTCCTTTTTTTTGGTTATTTGTTTTATTTAATTTTTGATAATGAATATGATGAAATTAAATATCTGTTATAATTAATGGCTAGATGAGAATTTGTTATGGAACGCTTTAAAAAGATTTTTGATTTCCTTCAGAAAGATGAGTAGAAAGTTGATTGAAATAAATAAAAAATGAGTCAGTGTGAAGAAGGTTGGAGGGTTTGGTGTTTTATGAATGATGTAAGTACATTTTGAGGTTGAGGTGTTGAAAAGAATTCAGAGTAAAGCTCCATTATTTTAAAATTTTAAATTTAGTATATTATTTGACAAAGGTTATTATCACTTGATGGTAGATAGGAGAATGAATGGAATAGGTAGAGAGAATATATATAGAGTGTTGTGACTTATTTTTTTAGAAAACAAACTTGTCAAGATGAGGTAGAATTAAGGAATTGTTTTGGAAGAGTTATCAGTAAGTTAATTTGTTCGTTTGAATATAAAAGAGTTTAGGGGAAAGCTAAGAAAGATACTTGTAAAAGAATGTATTATCCGGTTAAAGAAACTCTTAATCATGAAAGCAGAAATGAGAAGTAGTAGAAGAAGAGTGTTTCGATTTAATTTGTCAGAATATTAAAAACAAAAAATCTTGATTACCTTTTTACAATGTTAAAAACAGTTATATAACTAATTTAAAAATATGTACAATAACAAATTAATTTATTCATTCACTTAACAACAAGATTAGTACTGTGTTTAAATATATACATGTATTCGAAGTATTAAAAAGAATATAAAGAATAATAAGACCTTTGGTTGTGATGATAAAAAGGTGAATAAAATAACTGATAATAATAAACAAATATTGAATTATGATAGAACAAAAAAAAACAAATACATTACTGTTATAAATGTAGTGACATAAAGTGAATTTTAAGGTAACTTTATTTAACAAATTTTATTTAGAAATATTATTTGTTTTAAGTTACTTTTTTATTTATTCAGAAAGCATATTTTTGTTAATACCCATTTAAATAATATCCACATGATCTGTTTAAATTATTAATTTAAAATTATGTCATTAAATATTATGTTTGGTTATCTTGTTTCTGGTATTGTTTCTCGTTTATATTTGAGTAGGTAAGAAGATATATCATATGTACTTTAATAACTTATGTTAATTAAAATTTAACTTGTAAAACTTCCAATATTATTTATTTTAATATGAAATAATTAATTATGTAAAACTGTGGTTAATTAACATATGAATTATTATATTTTATTGATTTTATTTCATTATACAGTTATTGTCAGTTAATATTATCTTTTCGGATATTTTTCATTTTATTTCTTTTGTTATTTGTATTCTTCTAATGATATTATATTAATAAATCATTTAAATATTATATCCTAATAAGTTCTTTTGTGTATTGAATATTTTTATTTCATACTAAATAACAATGTACTTTTAGTAAATTTTATTGTATCAGAATTACTATCTCTATATGTTTCTCTTGGAGTTGGTTGTTCAAGAATATTATTATTTTCATGTTTATCATTTATATTTGTTATATTAAATATATTTAATAATTCTACTCAATTCATTACTATTTCTTTTAATATATTCATGTTCTTTGTTTCTCAACTAATTATGTTTTCATTCAAATACAGTCTTTTTCTATTCTACCTAGTTATTTTTATTATCTATAATTGTTTAATCTTTGATTCTAATTAATTCAGTTCAGTTTCATGATTTTGTTTATTAACACTAATAATTTTACAACTAACATCACCACTAGTATTTACTTCATTTATTCTGATGATATATTTTTGTTGTCTTATCAAAGTATGTTCACTCTACAAAAATATTTACTCACTCTTCTTTTTTATTGAACAAAACATGTTATAATCATAACTGTATTATATCAAGTTACTTCTACATATTAATTTGGTTAAAGTCATTTATTATTCTTTCATTATCGTTGTCTCTATTTTTCTCACTTCTGTTTATCTGGCATATCCTTTCATTTTGTTATAACTCCTTTGAATATATTTCTATGTTTTGATTATTAAAACTCCAATCTTCTTATCATCTAGTATCCTCTTTCAAATTTCTCATGTCTAATTCTGTTTCTTCTTGTCTATTGTTTCTTCTTGTTGACATTTCCATTTTCTTGCAACACATTATCTTTATTGTTGTATCTCTATCTATATTCTCTTTACAATCAATTCAGTGTTTATGTGAAACGTTTTCTTCTTTGTTAACATCATTAGTTAAATACTCATCTCATGTTTGATCCTTCACTCTCTTTATCTTTTTGAATAACAATAAAACAACTCACTAAACAGACTGTCCTAGATCACACAACTAAAATATTGTATACCACTATTCAATATATTAACAATTTATCTTCTTCAGTTGGTATTATCTTTAAAAACCAAATAAACATCCTTTGTCGTTCCTTCTTTTGTTCGTTAATAACAGATAGTGTTAACTTTCTTTAGTAGAACAACCACTAAAATTTACACGAGACTGTGTTTAAATAAAAACAGAACTACTTTATTCAATAGATAAACATATACAATACCAATTAGTCAAAAACACAGAAAACTTGAAAACAAAAAAACAAAATCATCAGGAATGGAAAAAACACCAAGAAACTCTGTAGAGGACTTGCTAACGTTATTTAAAGATGTTAAAGATGATAACAAATTAGAGAGTGAAGAAACAAAAAAGACAGAGAAAAAAGAGAGGAGAAAATCTCTGAGTATTAATGTAAATGATGAAGTACCAGAAAAAAGAAAGAGAAAAAGCACAAAACAAGAAGGAACCCCACAACCAAAAGTTGGAGCTATGCTTGAAATCCAATACAAGCACTTACCAGATAAAATAGATATTTCTGAATTAAAGGTATTAATTGAAAAAATACCAAGAATGGAAGAGAAAATAATGTTTAATGAGAAAAGTCTTGAACAATCAATTGTTATAAATTGTACAAACAATGGAATTCATGCATTGATTGGTGATAATTATGTTATACTCAACAAAGATTTACTCAAAGAAATCATTAATAGTAAGAGATTGATTATTGTACATAACTTAATAGAAGAAATCAAAAATTATAGAAATGATATTAAATGTGTCTTGGAAAACTTCAACACAAACAACAGAATCTTTGACACTTACATTG